GAAAATGGAAACTACTATGTTAAATTTGGGTATGTAGTCGGGTTATATAACGACAATGGAAAAGAAAATGGAAGCTACTAGTTAGAGGTTAGCTGATATGAGTAGTGTTTCTTTGGTGGTTGAACCCAGTAAGATTATATTCCTTATATAAAATACTATACCCCAAAGGAGGATATAATCTTGCTCTATATTGTGTACCATAGTATCCCCACATAAAATACTACTCATGCGTCTCTGGTGTCTCCTGTTTATCCCGTCAAAGGGCTCAAGGGAAGCCTATCTTGAGAAAGGCCCCCAATGTGGGAAAGGCACCTACACCCCCAAAACCCTAGACCCCAAGCCCTAAAACGTAAGCCGAAAACCCCTGAACCCCACACCCCTAAACCCTAAACCCTAAATGGCAGCTTCCATTTTCTCTTCCATTAATCTCCATATAGCCCTATATCATACCCCTAAATAACCCCTGTATATTCCCTGGAAGGCTTGGATCCAAGGCTCTTGCAGATTTAGCTCAATCCCATGGAGCGTCAGTGGGCTAAGCCTGAACCAGCATCGAAGATTTGGGGTCTAAGACTTTGGGTTTAGTGCTTAGGTTTTAGGATTTAGGCCTTTTTGGTTTAGGCTTTAAGGTTTAAAACGTGGAGTTTGGGGTTAGAACTTCAAGGCTTCGGATTTTTCAGGTTTGGGGTCTAGGACTTCAAGTCTTAGAGTTCAGGATTAGGGCTCTATTATAGGACCTACAGGGCCCATAAAGGATATAGTTGAATGGAAAAGAACATGGAAGGTACATGTATTTTTTAGCGTTTAAGCTTAAGGGTTTTTGGTTTTCAAGTCTAGGATCAGAGTTACCTGGAAATCCTGACTGACTATGAGGTTTCAAATTTCTGGGTTAATGTTGATGTTACTTGCTGCTAGCTGGAATTCCATGTAGGTTTGTTAGGGTATTGTAAAGGGACCTAGGGTTTCCATTCCATCTTTCATGTTGATTCTCCCTTATTTGGATAATATCCCCAAAGCCTAACTAACTTTCAACCCTAAAGCCTCAAAGACATAAACTTCCGTATGATGGAACTTAGGGATCATACTAGGGTTTAGGGTTTAGGGGGTTCAGCTACGGTTTTTAAGGTTTAAAGCACTGCCACAGCCACCGCAAAGTGGCATTTTCTTCAAAACAGGGCACTCCTATGCAGCGGAGATTTCGCGGGTTCAAGTAGTACCCCCTCAATTAAGGTTATTTACGGATATTTAAGCCTAATTAAGGTTAACTAAGGGGCGAACCTAGGGGGGGTAGTATAGAGGGGGGTACTACTTGAACCCATGAAGATTAGACAGTGATGATAGGCGTTCCGGTAGACCCTACATCCTAATCCCTAAACCCAAATCCTAGACTTTAAACCCTGAATCCTAAACTCTAAACCCTAAACCCTTAACTCTAAGCCCTTAACCTTCAATTCCAAACCCTAAAATCCTAAACTCTAAACCCTAAGCCCCTCCTGATAACTTCCCAGACAACTCTCCAAGCTCCAGACATCTCCTCTGGCTCTGGTCTGTACCTCACTAACTCGGAGGGGAACCTACCAACCATTGTCATTACAACCAAGGTTTAGGGTTTAGGGTTTAGGGTTTGGGGTTTAGAGTTTAGGGTTTAGGGTTTAGGGCTTTGGGGGGGGACTTAAACAACATATAATCACAGGGTTTAGCATTGGACCCTTAAGGTTGGACCCATTGGGTCCCACCTATCATCCCTACTAAAGTAAAGGGAACCACCAACCCTTCGGGTCCAACCCTAGGGTCCGATCCTTAATCCTCTGATATAACCGGGATATAGTCAGCTATGGGTGGATTATATGTAAAGTTTATGTGTAGATTATAAGTCAGGTTATAGATTGGAAGCAGTAGGCCCCTGCAAGCACCAAGCAGCTGATGTGCTACTGAAAACACCTTCCGTGAGCTACTTAAAATGATCCCTGTATATAGTCCCCCTTAAGTAGACAGAATATTTCTTTGGGTATATTACAATAGGATCCCCATATACCCCGTATTCTATCTACTTAAGGGGGACTATAATTCTTACCAGGGGACCCTCTAATCTCCAGATAATTTCACAGGATCCCCAGGGCAAGGTTGCTTTGAAGGGTTTAGGGTTTAAGGGTTTTAAGGATTTAGGGTTTGAGGGTTTAAGGGTTGACGGAGGGACTTAAGTGATCAAAGTCACCAGAATATGGATATCTAGGAAAATATGGCCTCCTTCTTATGGCAAAAACATGTACGTTGATTAAAAGCAGCCCTGAACGGCACCCCAACTTCGAAACTCCTATGTTCCCGTACATTTCCATGATATGGGGTTTAGGGTTTGGGGTTTTGGGTTTAATCCTGCATGAACCCGGTAGATCCCTCTACAAACCCTACATCACCCTTCCTACATCTGAGCTATAGTCTAAACTCCTAGTATCCCCTTTAATAAGCCCTACAGTAGTCCCCTATATCATCCCCTATATAACCCCCTTTAAGGAGTTTAGACTACAGCTCATCTGAAGACTGAGGCCCAAGCTGCACCCAACGAAATGGTGGCAAGTTGAGTCGGTTCGCGACCTCTACATGGGGGTTTCCCAAAATTGGGGGTACCCTTTTGGGGGTCCCCATAATAAGGACTATAGTATTTTGGGGTCTATATTGGAGTCCCCTTATTGGGGAAACTACCACATCGCTGCCGACAACATGGTGGGGTTGATAATGTGTCTTCTCAGACCTTTTTCCACCTGTCCATCCCTGAATCCTAAACCCTAAACCTTAACCTATGGAATGCCATGCCGGCTTGGGAGGTAGGATGGTTTAGGTTTGAGCGTCTGGGGTTTCAGATTCATGGTTTGGGTTTAAGTTATAAACTTTGAGCCTGTGATTTTGTTTAAATGTGAACCGTCCCTTTTGTGGTACCGTACATGGTGGTTTCTCAAAATCGGGGGCTCCATAGGGACCCCAAAGAGCACAGCTGATTCGCAGAGCCCAACAGTGGAGCAATTCCTGTGGTGATGATTATGACTATTAAAATCACCGCGGTAGCCATAATAATTACTTATGATTATTGGTGGCATGATAACTTCTACTATTATCAGACGAAGGCATGGCAGTGGGCAACCACACTCTTTCTTCTGAAGCATCCGACGACTCGCAGAAACGAAGATGGAACCCGGCTTCGCAATCGGTCTTAGAAAAGAACTTTCGATCCCCCAGCTCAGGTGGAAGGTATCCTTGAGGACAGCCTCTTGCATAGCCTGCCGAAGGGTTGTAGAGGTATCCATCGCCATAGCCCAATGTCCTGAGCAGCAGGGGGAGCTTAAAGCAAAGCACCGCAGCTCCACTTCTGCTAACGCAACTGTCCAGAAATTAAAACTAAATTGTCAGACCGGAGGCTTCATCATCTTCGTCGGGGCATTGCGAATATGCAATGGGACCGGCGCATGGGGATCCTTCTCGCACGACGCTTTGGCCGCTTCATATGCACGGTAAACAGCACAGCTTTTTGGCGCCAAGGCCAGATACACCACACACTGCGCAATCCTGAGCTGTTGCTAAGGCTCAGCTAAGGAACTCAAATTAACTTAGCTTTGTAAAGAAACCCGGCTGCGAATTTGTGGTAAACTTATTCAGTCCTTAACAACAACCAAGGATCACCACCCCGGCTTCTGGCATCCCTATAGCATGAACCGCCTGATCTGCAGCCACCGCCTGGTTAAGTGCTGAGGGATCTGCCAAACCCACATCTTCGGAAGCGAATCTAATAAGACGACGGGTGAGGTAGCGCGGTTCCTCCCCGGCTGTCAGCATACGACAGGCATAGTACAACGAGGCATCAGCACATCCGCCTCTCATGCTCTTGTGAAGAGCACTAATAAGATCGTAATGGAAATCACCATTCCGATCGTACAGAGCACGTTTCTGAATCGCTGCCTGGGCCGACTCTGAATCGATGGGTGAGCCAGCTTTTGTCAGGCGGGAAGCCAGCTCCAGCGAGTTCAGAGCTACACGCGCATCTCCGTCCGCAGCAGTGGCTAGGAGCTTCCGCGCATCATCCGTAATGGTGCTTTGCGACAGAATGGCGTCGTCGCGCATCGCCCGATCAATCACACGCACCACTGCATCCGACGACAGCTTCCCAAAAACAACCAAACGGCAGCGTGAAAGAATGGCATTGTTGATTGAGAACGATGGATTTTCTGTGGTGGCAGCTATTAATGTAATTGTGCCCTTCTCGCAGTCTAGAAGCAAGGCATCCTGCTGGGCCTTTGACCATCGATGAAACTCATCCACAAACAGAATGGTTCCTAATTGGCGCAGCTTGGACGTGCCAGCGGCCCTGCTCAATTCATCACCTTACTGGTTGTTCGTGGAGAATAAGGGAACCTATATAGGCTCTATATAACATATTCCCTTATTCCCTACTAACCACCAGTAAGTCACGCAATTCTGCAACGCCAGCCTTAGCAGCAGACAACGACCGAAACGTGCGCTTCGTCGCTGCTGCAACGCAGCTTGCAAAAGAGGTCTTGCCGCAGCCAGGCGGCCCCCAGAGAATCAGCGAAGGCAAGTGGTCCTCCTGCAGCGCTTGCCGCAAGATCGACCCCAATGCATCCTCCTGCCCCAAGAGCTCCTGAATGTGCTTTGGGCGCATGCGTTCTGCAAGTGGGGCACTGCTCGCAGTTGATTTTCCAGGATGGACATCAGCACCGCTTGCAGACTTTTCAGACTTCGAGCGTGACCCTGCTTGGGTAAACTCAACTGTCGCTGGCTCCTCCGACTCCGCCTTCTGGCGCTTCCGCTGATCAAAAAAGCTGGGTACTGAGGGTGCTGCTCGCTTAGGCGTTGAATCAGCCGATGCTAGCTGCTGATCATAGTGCAGGTTCAAGGCAGCGCCCACATCGTTGCCCGCCTTGTTCATGAGCTTCTTAAGCTGGTCATCATCAACCGAGCTCCCCAAAACATCACGTAAAGCAGCCAGTGCGGAGTCGGCATTCTCGTCGGCCATGTCAACAAACTGCTTGTCGAAGTTACTTGGGGATTTCCCAAAATTAAGGGTAACTTGTTGTTTTGGAGGCTAAATTCAGGTCCCCCTGCTTAGGGAAACTACCCTATCCTACGATTAGCATAAACCAAAGTGAGGTGCCTTATGAACAAGCTGCCCTGGGTCTCCACGCAGTACAATATGCGTGAACAAGAGAGGTTTAAAGGCATCTTGCAGCAGCAATACATGTGTCTACCATGCAGCTGCAGAAGTGCTAGCCCAAATGCTGATTGTCGCTGCTATTGCCATCCCCGTGCATGTTGCTGATATCAGAGTATTCTCAAGAAGATGTACAGTCGGTCTAAAGAACTCGTTTAAAAAAGGATGCGCATCAAAGGAGGAACCTGTTGGAAGTTTCAAGTGTGCTGAATAATCCTACTAGGGCTCCTAGCTGTTGCAGTTCCAATGTATCCATAGGGGACTCGAAGTGCCTCCCAATGTTGGAGAACCCCAAACCGTAGACACCCTTTCCCCCTACACCCTAAACCCTGCAGACGGGTTCACTTCCAGGGACAGTTTTTGGGGTATTGCGTGGACGTCCAGGGATTCTGTGGCAGTTGGGTCCCCGTGGCGGTGCTTGAAATCACTGGCCAGCGCAGTGTTTCGGAGCATTTCTGAAATTGGCG